AACCAGTAGGTGGCAGTAGTGTTCTTTGACAAACATGGATGCCTCCAGTAAAGCACATTCAAAGGAAAATTACTCTTAACTAAATACACTTATCATTTATTGAACAGGATGTAATAATTTCATATTTAGTACTTTCTGAAGTTTGAATTCTGAATGTGAGCGGACTTTTCCTTTAAATGTTTTGACAACTGCATTCGGCACCTAGATTCCTCCCAGCAGCCTCCCCAATGTCCTTCGGCCTTCAGAAAAACTCGTTTTCTCTTGGAAAACAAATATTTCACAATTCCTAGACACCATAGTAGTGATCATAGTGATAGCAGCGCCATACTACAGACAACCGATGCAAACAATGATTGATTTATTGAAATAAACAGAGAGAACAGTAATAAACACTCTATAACCCAGATGGAAGATGGAAAAGAGGTGAACTTTTTTAGAACTAGTTTCATACTGTGCCTTACCTCACAGTAACTGGACAATATTTACACAATTTATTATTTTCTAATCTTTGTTTCTTTTGATCCATGCTAAGGTTTCATAGAGAGCTCCCCCAGTGTGGAGAAGATCAAAGTGTTTGAGAAATACTTCACTTCTCGGATCCACCTGTATGATAAGGTTAGTGAGTGTTTAGAAACCTGCTGGTAGAAGATGTCATACATCCGAGCCTTCTAGGTTATAGGAGCGTCTTAGTGACCGGTCAGTAAAAAGGACGGCTGTGTTTCTCTTTAGGATGAGATTGAGCGTCAGGGCAGCGTGCTGGTGGATTACGCAGATTTAATTGGGGACCAACGTGTGCGTGAAGCGCTCTCTGATATCGTGGCTGACCTGCAGGAGCAGCCAGAGGTCATGCTGAACTGTCTGGGAGTGGCCATTCATCAGGTAAACACAGAAATCTAATGTTAAAGGGGACCTTTTATGTAGAATTCACCGTTTTGCAATATAGAAAACACAAAAACAATCAAAACAAAAGAAAATCATCACGCAAGGAATAGATTTAGATTAATCATGGATGGATGGATGGATGGATGGATGGATGGATGGATGGATCGATCCATCCATCCATCCATCCATCCATCCATCGATCGATCGATCCATCGATCGATCGATCGATCGATCTCTCCCATGCCAGAGAGTCAAACTTAAATTAAATATGATGATAGTAAAAAATAATAATCAAAGTTTTTCAAAGTTATTTCTAAATTGCATTTTTTTTTCTATTTACAAAACATGTTCTCTGCCTGAAACAATAAAGAACAAAATTCTTTCCATAGATAAAAGATCTTCTTTATATTAGAATGGAAAGTTTAATGTCAAAGCTGAATTTCATGGAACTGGAAATGGGCGTATCTGTGAAGTGGGTGAGCTGGGTGTCACATGTCCGGCTAAATGGTTTCTCTGATTCAGGTGTTGACCGCAGATTTGGAAAAACAAGCTGCTGAGCTCCAAGACGATGAGCTTCCCGTCACCGCACCCATCATCAATATTCCTCATATCAGCGTAAGGTAATGAGCGCCGTACAGAACGGGATGTTGTTCTCTGGGCACCAGCTGACTCTCCCACCCCATTCACAGGTTGTATAACTACGAGCCGCTCACTCCTCTGCGGACTCTGCGAGCCAGCGTGTTCGGCCGGCTGGTGTGTGTGAGAGGAACCGTAGTCCGAGTGAGCAGCATCAGACCTCAGTGCACCAGGATGGCGTTCAAGTGCCAGATCTGTGGCGGCACTCTGACCATACCACTGCAGCACGGGAAATATGCGACACCCAGCAAAGTACGTGCACACCAGTGTTGTTTCTGGCAGCCATCTTAGATTTAGTCTTAGCTTTGGTCTTCAGGATGAAAACT